GAGCTGAAGGCAGACGCTCAACGACTGAGCCACTCAGGCGCCCCTTTAGTGTAGCTTCTAATTTTCTGTTGGAATACCATACTTATATGTATACATATATGTGCACATAGTGTACACCTAAGCACATGTATATTCCTCACCTACACGCACACACGCACATGCACACGTGCACACACACACACACAGTCACTCCCCGCTTAACCCAACATACATATGTGTATGTAAAAACATCCAACATGAATAAATATGAGAAGGAGCATGATGGGACTGAAGGGACTGAAGGAAGTTCAGTGTGATTGGGGTGAAAAGGACAAAGGGGGGTGGTAGTTGAGAGTAGATATTGAAAGAGTAAGTGTTTGGGACTTGGTAATTAGGAACTGGTCATATTCATCACTTTCTCTAGGTTGACGAGAGCCCTGATTTTGAAATACACATAACAATGTGTGATGATGATCCACCCACACCTGAGGAAGACTCTGAGACACAGCCTGATGAGGATGAGGAAGAAGAAGAAGAAGAAAAAGTTTCTCCACCAGAGGTGGGAGCTGCTATTAAGATCATCCGGCAGTTAATGGAAAAGTTTAACTTGGATCTGTCAACAGTAACACAGGCCTTCCTAAAAAATAGTGGTGAGCTGGAGGCTACTTCCTCCTTTTTAGAATCTGGTCAGAGGGCTGATGGGTATCCCATTTGGTCCCGACAGGACGACTTAGATTTGCAAAAAGATGATGAGGATGCCCGAGATGCATTGGTCAAAAAATTTGGTGCTCAGAATGTAGCTCGGAGGATTGAATTCCGAAAGAAATAATTGGCAAGATAATGAGAAAAGAGAAAAGGTGTGGCAGGTGAGGTTTAAAAAAAAAAAAAAAATTTGTGACCATTGAACTTCAGAGATTTGTACATTGGAACTGACACTTGTCTTCTGACCAATGCTGCCATTGCTCTGTGAATCTTAGATTTTGTAGCCAAGCAGAGTTGTGTAGGAGGCTAAAAACAAAAGACATTGGATATATTTAGAGCTGTCCCTGGCAGTATCAGCGTGTTTATGAAAGGAAAATCTAAACCAGAGGGAGGTTGGCCTGTGTGGTAGTAATCCTTTTCTGAATGTAACCCTTGCTATATTGTTTCAGGAGCTAGTGACAAAGTCAAAGGAGGGAGATTAGGAGATGGGTCTTTTCAGGCAGCATGAATAAAGAGCTTCCTATCCTTTGGCAGAAGCTCCTCTAGTTTGGATAGATTCCAAATCAAGAATCTAGAAATGTGGAAAGTTTTAATTACAAGGCCTTGAACACAGACTTCCTAAACTCTTGCATCCCCTAGTGAGCTCTGATTTCTCAACTGCTTTGAAAATCCCATATTCCCTTTGCTAACTTACTATTTGGGGACCCTGCTCCTTGGCTGTTCTTTTCTTCCAGTCTTTGTCAGTCATACTTGTGGCACGTGTTTCTTTACCTACCACCCAGTTTTGTTTAAAACATGCAAAACCGTAGAGAGTCTTAAGAACAGTCTTACTCAGTTACTAGTAATGTGTTTTTATTTATTGAAAATCGTTTTGTGGTAAGGATTGTGTTAGATTTACAAATTAGTGAATTGATTCCTCTTTGTTGTGTTGCTTTCATTGTTGAAAATAAATAGAACTTTGAGTCTCCAAGTGTTTTTCTTTGATTGTATTCACAAAACCTTTCAATAGAAAAACCATGAAGGAATGGATGATTTTTGGCTCTTAATTAGGTCAATAATGAACAAAGTGGTTTCATTTTAGAACTAGTAGGCCACTAGAAAGATGCTAGTTCTTCTGAATGGAGCAGAGAGAAGATCTGCGTCAAGGACTGTGAAAGATGGAGTGAACTACTAAGAGCTGGAGTGGAGAGGAGCCCATCAGGAACCAGCAGGTGTGTAACAGAAGGTGTCGGTTCCCTACCCATGTTCTCTGGGCACTCACCATTCCAGCATATGCCACTGATAGGAGTCCCGCTGCAAGTGCCTGCTGAAGCTTTCCCTCTGCTTGAAGTGCCGTGGAGTTAATGCCCCTGGGAGTGGCTTTCAGTCGATGAGAATTAGAGGTGGATGAGAATTAGAGGACGCAGACCCAGTTTCCTTGCTGTCCAGAGAAATGACACGACTGAATCTTTGAAAATTACCCCCTGAGTGGGATAACGGTGTCCATGCCACCTGTGAGAGATGCCCGGCAGAAATAAGCAGAGTGGCCCACAGTGGCAGTCTGTGTATACATGCACCCTGCATAGGCTTCCTTCTCTTGTTTGGCATCTGCACTTCCTGAGAAGTACAACATCCTGAAATCAGCAGTTACACACACATTATTAGAGTTCAGTTCTGGTGGAGTCCAACCTAAATCAAAATGCTTCACTTTGCCCTTTAGTATGTTGAAAGGATACAACTGCTCCTAGTAGTACCTAGCTCACTCTAGGAGTAATTTTTAAGTAGGTATTGGGAAAGATTGGGTGGTGGGCATTTGTTTAAAATGTGTTATCCAGGGGCGCCTGGGTAGCTCGGTTGGTTAGGTGTCTAACTCTTGATTTCTGCTCAGGTCATAATCTCAGGATTGTGAGATCGAGCCCTGCATTGGGCCTTGTGCTCAGCATGGAGTCTGCTTAAGATTCTCTCCCTCTCCCTCTGTACCCCCCCCCACTTGTGCTCATGTGTGCATACTCTCTCTTTCAAATAAATGAATAAAAATGGAGATGTCATTTAGGTTGTTTATAACCTAGTAAAGTTACTACAGTTTTTACAGGGCTAGAAATTTCAGTTTTGTCAAAGCATGTGCAAAAGGGTCTGATTCATTATATCTAGACTCCCAAAGATGTGTAAACCAAAGCACTCATTATAAACTAATAACTTTCAAATACCTGTTTTTGCAATTTCTCTGGCATTTCATTTCTTAGGCTGAGAGGTATATGTGGGGAAACATTATCAGAAGTATTTTTGGGAGCACAAATCAAAGCAAGGAGCATGAGTTGAATTTTAATGGTTAATGGAATTGAGCTATGGCTGCATCTGCTCAAATCCTAAAGTCAGGATCCCCTCCCTTGAGCTGCCAAATTCTTGTTTTTTGGGTTTTCTTGACTTGATGAGACTTGTGCTCTGGGAAACGTCATGTCTTACTCATTTTAGCTCTTGAATTCTGGGCCTTCCTCATTATTCCCTCCTACCCCCACACTTCAGCTTTTGAAATTTGCTAGGCCTTAAATAACTTCTGTACCTTCATTAGTGGCAGAAACATTTTTTTCTGTCTTCTCTTTGCAAACTGCAGCAGTGGATTATGCTCCTGGTATTCAGTTTTCCTTTGTTCCCTGTCCCTTTTAAGCAGATGCAGTTGCATTTTAAAGGTTTAAGCTGCCGCTGAATTCTTGAGATCTCTCGATTTTGGTCTAATGCTGTTTGCTGGATCATATGCTCCCTCTGCCTATATCCATAAGTTGCATTTAATTGCTTATAACAGAAAACTTAACCTAAAGGACTTCAAAAAATAAGGGGAATGGGATTATATCTTCTATATATAACAAGAAGTCCTGAGTCAGTTAGCTTCAGGGTTCTTTTTATATTTCCGCTCTGCTATCTCTAGCTTGTCTTGTAGGCTGCTTCTTTCATGGTCAGAAGCTGGCTGCTACAGTTCTAACAGCGGAAGACGGACCATTTCCTCCTAGGTGTCTCCTTTATTGGTGAGCAAGCTTTCTCAGAAGCCCCTAGACTTCTCATTGCCAGAATTTTGGCACATGCCCCTTTCCTAACTTCTTAAATGACTAGATTGACTTAAATTTATCAAGGTCTGTCTTTCTTGGTCTGCACATTGTGTAACCTTCCCTGGGAATGTGGTATGAAGGGAAGGTAAATACCCAAATAAAAGTCTGCTAAAAACTTCGATTGTACAGATAAACCCTAATGACCTCTAGGAACAAGAATACCCATCCAGTAGTGGATTATTATCTCTGTTATCATCAGCCTGGACTTAACCTTTGAGTTTGTTCTCTTCTCCTTTTTCCTATAATTTACTTTAGGATTTTTGAGCATATTTTCTTTTTTAATTTTGATTTTATTTATTTACTTGAGAGAGAGAGCACAGAGGGAGAGGGAGAAGTAGACCCCTGCGGATCAGGGAGTCCAATGTGGGACTCGATCCCAGGACCCTGGGATCATGACCTGAGCCAAAGGCAGACACTTAACTGACTGAGCCACCCAGGTGCCCTTTGAGCATATTTTCTTAAAGTAAATGCCATTTATGCTTCTCTGTCAATAATAAACATTACCTTGAAACTTATTCTGCATATCTTTTTGCTCTTCCTTTCAGGCTTTCTAGCTTTCAGTATGGTTGTGCCTATCAACAAGGAGGGCTTCCTCAATTCATTTTTTTGATTTTCTACTTTCAGCTTTCAGTTTTGATAGTTTATTGCTTTTGAGGTATTTCTGGGGAATGTATCCAGGTTTTATGAGCTTGGCACCGTGGCACCGTGGGCTGCCTCAGGTCATAAATTTGTGTCCAAAGATACAAAGAGCTCATCTGGGCTCTTGAGAGAAGCTTGCCGATGACTGTTCTGCCTGATGTTTTGTGTATTTAACTGGTAGCTGTTGTCCACATTATGGATTTAAGTAAATCAAGTTATTTTCTAACATTTTTAAAGCAGGCAATGGAAACTTTTTATAAATAGATTGTTACAGGGGTTAAAGTAGTTAAAACAGGGAGCTCATTAGAAGGGTGTG